GTTAGTGCTGGCGACTTTCCTTCCCCGTTGACACTCCGTCGGCGCGGGGGGGGGGGGGGACGCGGCTTCGACCCGACGCGGCGCCGCCACTCCTTCGGGGAGAGATAAGGGGATTTTTTTCGTGCCTGAAGGGGGGGGGGGGGGTGGGGGGGGGCGTGCGGAGGGAGGGGAGGAGGGGGGAAAGCGGTGCCGGAGGTTGAGGTGTCTGGGGGGGGGGGGTGATGAGGCTAATTGCAGTGATGGTGATAATAATGACACAGATACGTACAGATGTATATATATGTATACATATATATATATATATATATATTATATATTTATATATATATATATATATATATATATATATATATATATATATATACACACACACACACACACACACACACACACACACACACACACATAAGTATATATCATATACATATAAATAAGTATGGATATATATATGCATATAGGTTACATATTTATATGTTTTTGTGTATGTCCGAGCATTTCACTGCACACTTATGGATTTAAACATTTATTCCAACAAAGTTATTTTTGTGTGTTCCTTTTCTCTCTTTTTTTCTCACGAAACCTTGAAAATGTTTGATCAAAATCTCGAGTGAATTTGGTCGCATTTCACAGCTGAAAATATCTGCTTTGTTTTATTTTTATGTTTTAGTTATTCGTTTTGTTTTTGATATTACTCTCGAGTTTTGTTCATAGTTCTTTTGTGTTTCGGTTAAAGATAAAAAGAAAGAAAAAAGGAAAAAAATAATATTTTCATCTTGAAGGTCATGTAATCTAACGTAAAAAAAATATAAGAAGTAAAACGTAAGGAAAAGAAGAGAATTATCATTAAAGGCATTTAATAAATTCAAGGCTTACTTCACATATGCATTTTTTTCTTCACGTCAAATGTCAAAAAGAAGGAGTTTTTCCTCTAAATTTTCAATCTTAAAAAAAAAAAAAAAAAATCTAGTGTGACGGTGGAAGCCTGCTCTCTCTCTCTCTTTCTTTCTCTCTCTCTCTCTTTCTTTCTTCTCTCTCGCTCTTCACTGTCTCTGTCTCTGTCTCTCTGTCTCTCTCTCTTCTCTTTCTTTCTCTCTCTCTCGCTCTCTCTCTCTCTCTCTCTTTGTCTCTCCTTATCACTCTCACTGTCTCTGTCTCTCTCTCTCTCTCTCTCTTTCTTCCCCCTCCTTCTCTCCCCCCCCTCCCTCTCTGTCTCCCCTCTCTGTTCTCCCCCCCCCTCTCTGTCCCCCCCCCTCCCTCTCTCTCTTTCTACGTGTGTATATATGTAACAACTCCACACATACCCCCCACACCCCCAGCCCACAGCGCCCTTTTGACCACCTCCCCCTCCCACAGGCATCGAGGTGGACGCGGGATGCCCCTACGGCTGCGTCCGGTGCTCGGCCCTCAACGGGTGCCTGGCCTGCAAGCCGCCCTTCTACCTTCTCCTGCGCAGGGACGGGGCGCGGCAGACGGCCTCCTGCACGAGAGCCTGTCCCAGGGGCTTCTACAAGGTGACCAAGAAGAGGAACGGATTCTGCGCCAGTGAGTTGTCCGGTGGTTAGTGGGGGTGGGGGGTGGGGTGGGTGGGTGGGGGTTGGGGGTGAGGGTTGTTATTTTAGCTGTTGTTGTTGCAGTTTTTTTTTTGCTATTGTTGTTTTGTTTTTATTTTAGCTGTTGCAGTTTTTTTTTTGTTTTTTTTTGCTATTGTTGTTTTTATTTTAGATGTTGTTGTTGCATTTTTTTTGCTAGTTTTTATTTTAGTTGTTGTTGCAGTTTTTTGTTTTTTTTTTTGCTATTGTTTTTTATTTAGCTGTTGTTGTTGCAGTTTCCTTTTTTCGCTATTTTGTTTTTATTTTAGCTGTTGTTGTTGCATTTTTTTTTGCTAGTTTTTATTTTAGTTGCAGTTTTTATTTATTTTATTATCTTTGCTATTGTTTTTATTTTAGCTGTTGTTGTTGCAGATTTTTTTTTTTTGCTATTGTTGTTTTTATTTTAGCTGTTGTCGTTGTACTTGTTATTTCAGCTGGTGTAGTTGTTATCATCATCTTCAGTGTTATCTTTCTCCATATTAGAATTACTGTACATACTATCGTTGCAGTTATCATCAATGTATTACTATGAAAATGACCCCTGTTGCTACTATTATTATATTACATTATTATAATACCATCCTTATTTTTTTTATTTAAATTAGTTGTTGACACTATCTTTAAAATTATCATTATTCTCATTATCATATTTGCTATCGTTATCACAATTTCATTTCATTCATGTACTGAGTATGATGAAAGATGATCACTTTAATGAAGAAAATTTTCGTAAAACAAACAGACAAACAAACAAAGATTAAGTGACTGCTATAGCGAAAGACATCATAAGAATATAGTGAAATATAATGATATTTTGTAAAGTGACTATTTATTAAATAATCTAAATAAAAGTAATTATATTAAATATTAGTTATAACTATCTAAAAAGCCAATGCCAATAAATGAATGAA